AATGAGCAATTAATCTAGTGAATTGATGACCGGGGACTGGGAGAAACTCTCTTCTCTTTTTAAGATCTTAAGATCCATCTGTTAAAAAAGCATACGGGATACTAGGTTTTATAAATAGGGGCATAGAATTCAAAAGTCAGGAGACTATGTTGAATATTTGTAAAATGCTGGTGGTTAGGCCTGCGTTCAGTTCTGGGCACCGCACTTTAGGAAAGATGTTAAGGGCATTGGAGAGGGTGCAAAGGAGGTTTACCAGGATGGTACCAGGAATGAAGGACCTTAGTTATGAGGAGAGGTTAGCGAAAGTAGGATTATTCTCCCTAGAGCAGAGAAGACTAAGAGGGGATTTAATAAAGGTTTTCAAGATCATGAGAGGATTTGATAGGTTGAATCAGGAAAAACTGTTTCCACTGGCATGTGGGTCAGTAACCCGAGGACACGATTTAAGTTAGTTGTTAAAAGAAACAGAGGGGAAGTTAGGAAAACATTTTTCACCCAGCGAGTTGTTTGGAGCTGGAATGCATTACCAGAAAGGGTAATGGAAGCTGATTCAATAACAACTTTTAAGAGAGAAGTGGATGGGTATTTGGGGAGGACAGGATTGCAGGGCTAAGGAGAGAAAGAGGGCCAGTGGGATTGAGTTGGATTGCTCTTTTTGTAGCCGGCACAGACACAGACAGGCTGAATGGCCTCTTTCTGTGCTGTTTGATTCTATGATTCTAAGATCCATTTGGAAAACAGGTAGATGGGACCTCAGTTGAATGTTTCATCTGAAAGTCAACATCCTAGCAATGGAGCACTCCCCACTATAGCTTTAGAATGCATCAGTCTTGAATATGAGTTTAAAGAGCCATTTAAAAGAAAAAGCTGCTCTGAATGTTTGGAGGCTTTTGAGCATTCCCGAGACATTAAGGATTTCAAGCTGATCTGAAATTCTTGTCCCCAAATAACTGTAATTATGCAATAATTAATAATTGCATAATTAAGTGTGGTTCAAAGCTGACCATAATGCAGCACGTGGCCTAAATTTGCCTTGATGATTAATTTTGGAAAATAAGACTGAGAACTTCATCTATTGCTCCCTTTCTAATGAGATATATCACAATTCAGGTCACTTTTTCACAGACGTATTTTAATATACAGGAGATTATTTATATATATGTATGTGAAACTGATGATGTCCAAACCCCCAATGGGGGCAAAGTAGATCCACAATCTCAAATTTGTCTTGAGTGGTACTTGGAAGCACTGACCACTCGATTTTCAAAAGGTAATGGGTTCCTTCTCTGAATTACTATACTGCAGTGAATTGACAACTTGGGTATTGGACGAGTGGTCGTGGAGATTCCTTTGTTCTAATGCCTTTATCAAATTTTTTCTGCCAGTCTCTTGGACTTGGTTGTCTGGTACACTTGACTTTTGTATATGCAGTGGATATTTACACACATTGCGCATATTTATTATGTATACTGTACGTATAAATCATAACAAAAATTAAATAATGTAGCACACACGAGCCATAACATTTAGAGTAGGGAGGCTGCCAAGGTTGTGCAAGTCTCTAACTGACCCTTGAAACAACAAGGTACAACATAAAAGGTGCAATAATTTTGGAAAGATATGATTTTCTAATGGAGAAAGTATTTCAAACAGTAAAAAAGTACTATATACACTTTGCTTCCACTAACACTGTTGGTAGATGAATAGGTCAATTCGAAACAGAATCAATTGCGAAAGCAAATCATAAATTGCCAAGTTGTGATTTAGATCATAGAAATCAAATTACCTGCAAAAATACTGGACAGTGAGTACAAAGTAAGGAAAAAAAAGTTGTGATATCAGGTTCAACGTTAAGAAGAAGACAGGCTGTATCAGCATATACTGAAAGTCCATCTTTACCCACACTAAGCTTTGCAAGTCTGTAAATCGTCCTTGCCAAACGCCACTGTCTTCCCAAGTCCTAGTGGAAAAACTTCAAACCTTCATACTCATCTATAAATTCCTGCATGCCCTAGGCTTCTCTCTACCTCTGGAAACTTTTCCAGCCTCATTCTCCTCTTTCCCCTGCTGACAAATTCAGGCCTGCTGCTCTTTCTTACCCACTCCATCCCTCCCTCTCGCAATTGGTGGCCAAGCCTTCAGCGACTGGACCCAAACTTATACATGAAATCTCAAAATAAGCTAATTTAGTTTAGCTTTTTTCCACTTCTTCACAATGAATGCGGCAAATCACAATTTATTTAAATCATAGGTAATACTCTGCATTACACTGGTCTCTCTTTTCAAAATCAACATTTTAAAGGCACTGAGACATACCCCCTTTCCCATGTCTAGCCCAGCTCAAATTGAATCCAAAACGTCTCCTGAATTCACTTGTAATGAGGCTTAATGTCTGAACATTAGACTGGATACTTTCATGGTAATATTTTAATCAGTGACCAGCCATATTCACAAAAGTAACAGGCCTAACAAACATATGTGTGAAAGAAATATATTTTGTTTAAATCTATGGGATAACTATTATTTAGATTGATCATTTATAATAATACTAATGATAATATCCTTGCATGTGATTCTAGAAATCCAATGTGAACAGCACAAATATTATTTTATTTATATTGTTAATACTTATTTATATTATTTTATTTACATTGCTATTACTATTTTGTTTCACAGGATTTACGGTAAAGTGTAGTGACAATGACCCTAACCCTAATGTAATCAGTTGAATCAGTAAGATTGTGGAAGCTGTAACAGGATAAAAAGTACAAATGGATGAATTCAGAACAAGAACGGGTTTAGACAAAAATACATCTGGCTGGTAGGGTTTTCCTGGCATGAAAGCATTTCAACAGTGTTGAGATAATAATGCTTCAAAATACTGTTTCAAAGCGCCTCATACAAGGAAATACTTCGAAATGCAGTATCTGTTACGTAAGAAACCCTGATGAAACTACTGAACCAGTTCAGCGATTTTTTTTGTCCAACCAACGTTTCTTACAAATTCAAGGCGTTGGTGGATCTGGAGAATTGGAAACAATATATGGGTACATGTGTTATCTTATAGATAGATACTCATGAGTGTAGAGCTATGCTTGTATCATTGTATGTATATAAGTGGCTCAAAAAAAATCAGTGTTAATGATCTAGTATACAGTAATGTATTAATAACCTACTGTTCCACATCGAAAATCTCATTAATTCTGAAATAGCACTATTCCCATGGCATTATTCGAAAAGAGAAGGGAACTTCTTCCAGTGTCCTTTGAGACATCTCAATAAAGTGACATCAAATGTAAGCATTACTGTTATTATTACTACAATTATAAATTGTATGCATTACTATTATTATTACTACAATTATAAATTGTAATTAGAGTGCCTTTCATATCGGGAGGGCATCCTAAGGAACAGTTAAAGGTCTGCACCTGAGCTGGGGGTTGGATTTGGATGAGGTGGAAGCCAAAGAGCGTAGAGTGTGGGAAGATGATGAAAGCTGGTCGTGAAGCAGGTGGGTGCCTGTGGAGCGGAGAGGTTAGTAGTTTTAGGTCACAGAGGCAGGGTAGGGCAAGACTGTGGAGGGATTTAGAAGTGAGAATAAGGATCTAGGGGGGTATGGGGAGCGAGTGGACCCGGGCAATGATAGGGGTAATAGGCTTGCAGAGCACAGTGCAGGAAAGTATATCAGCTACAGAGTTCTAAATAACCTACAGCTTGTGGAAGGAAGAGATGGGAAGTCCAGGAAGCAGATGATTGTCGTTGTCAACCCTGGACATGATAAAAGCATGGAAAAGGATCTAGGCTGCCCGAGGGGAGAGGAAATGGCATAGGTGGGCAATGTTACGGAGGTGGGGGAAGGCTGAAGGGTTCAAGGCACAGTTGTTTAAAGGATAGTTGAGAGTCAAACAAGACACTGAAGTTCTGCACTGGCTGCGGGAGGTGGAGTTCTGCATCCATGGATGGTGATGCTGTCAGTGTCTGAGGTGAGAAGGTGCTGGAGGGAACCAACAGATGAGCCTCTGTCTTGTCGACATTCAACTCAAGAAAGTTAGCTCTATTCCAGGACTTGGTGTCTGACAGTAATTAGTCAGAACAGCAATGGTCCTGGAATCAATGGTGGAGGCAGAGAGATTAGGTTGAGTGTCATCTGCATACATGTGGAAGTTACCCCATGCCTGCGGATGACATCGCCGAGCGGGACTATGTAGATATTCACGAGAGGACTGAGGGTACAGCCCTGAGGAATGCTGCACATGACATCATGAGAGCGGGAGGAGAAGCCTTTGGCAGATATAGTGACTTTGGGATAGGCAAGAATTATATGGACATGTTCCTCTCAGCTCCACTTTCATGGTCAGAAAGGTGGTGGAGAAAAATCGAATGATCGACAGTATCAAAGGCAGTGGAGAGGTCAAGAAAGACAAGGAGGCAGAAAGAGGGAACGAATGTCATTTGCGACTTTGACCAGGGCAGTCTCAGTACCGTGGGCAGCATAGAAGCCGATTGTGTTCATGCCGTTCATACACAATTATTACAGCTTTGAAACATTCAATGTAATAAGATGCAATGTTTAACAAGGAATCCAATTCAGAATTTCTGTCGATTTGCACGAACCCCATTCTGAAAGATCACGATGTGACAGAGGTCGCGACGTGGGCATCTGGTCACCCCCCTAAACCCCATTTGGCCAGCTTGGAAAAGGAATCCAGTTGTACGAAATAACACAAATTAGACCCGATTGCCCCCCCACCCCTCCCTCCCCGGGCAGAAAAGTGGAATCCAGTTATAAGAAATAACACAAATTAGACCGGGATGTCACACGCGCACACACACACACACACACCCTTCTTGCAAGGGTAACGGGCAGAAAGGACCAGCGCCTTGGGTCATCGTCCCGACGTGAAAGGCGCTACAAAATGTAATTGGCTGTTGTTGGTGCTGTTGGGAGGCGCGGTGCCGGGTGCAGGTGCAGAGCTGACTGTCAGGGCCTCGGTGCTTACCTGCCGGCATCCTCTCTGCTGCTCGGCCTCGGCTCAGGGGGTGGGTGTCTGTCTCACCGTCACAGCCAAGTTACACACACCATCCCATCGCTCTGCAGAGACAGGAATACACAGTGAAGTCCAGAGTCACCTCACCCCAGACCCGGCTCCAGCCTGACAGGGGCAGCGCCGGGCAGCGCCGGGCAGCGCCGGGCCGCCAGTCATCCCAGCGCCGGCCCCCGGCTAACCACAGCCGCTGGTCCCCGGCCTGAGCTCCCACCCACCCACCCACCCGACCCGAGCGCCCCCCGGCCCGGCCCGGCCCGGCCCCAGCCCCGGCCCCGCTCGGCGGCGGGTGTGTACCTGAGGCCCTGTCTGGCGGCTCCTCCCGTCCGTGTAACTTTCAGCCGTTGGAAACGATCGGCTGCGGCTCCAGGAAGTCATCAACTGCTTCCGGCCACCGCGGCGGCACTTCCTGTTTTGCCTGACCCCCCCCCCCCCCCGGGGGTCACACACCAGCGGCGGGTATCAGACCAAGAATAATAATGATAATAATAATAATAATAATCCTTACATTTGATGTGCGGCCTCGTTCCTGTCGGGACGACGTCTCGCGACGCCTCACTGGATGAGGTGTAGTGACTGTGTTTTGCGGGTGAACCCGGGGGCCAACTTGCGCTCAGCAACGTCACGCAGACGCCGGGGGTTGCCACACCTCCGAGGCGCGGGTAGGAACAACCGCCAAAAAGCCCCTCCTCGCGGAGCCCGCCAGGGCCCCTCGGACACCTCTCAGGCCCTTCCAACGTATTTCCATCGCCATTTCGGTACAAAATAAATCAGCTCACACTTGATTGAAACTTTTGGTCGCGACGTGTAGCCGCTGTATGATCGAGCTTCTAATTGAACTTCTCCCAAAACCAAGGGCTGAGTAATTATCACTTCATTTTTATAATAATCCGTGTCAGTCTGGCTCAGTTTGTAGCTCACTCTTGAGTCCGTGGGTGTGGGTTCAAGCCCCACATCGGGACTTGAGCTCGCATAGACTAAGCCGACACTCCAATGCAATGCTGCGGGTGTGTTTCATTGTTGGAGGTCCCATCCTTCAGTTGAGACGTTAAACCGAGGTCCCGTCCGCCTGTTGAGGCGGCCACAAAAGATCTCACGGCATTATTCGAAAAGAGAAGGGAGTTTCGCCCGGTGTCCTGGCCAGGAATCCCCCAAATAAAATTGGTAATTTGTTTCTTTCCCTTTATGCCCTGGCACCTCCCTACTTCTCCAACCTCCTCACTCCCCACTCCACCACTTGCCGCTTCCGCTCGGCTGCCTCCTGCTTGTCTCTCATCCCCTCCACTCCACCATCAACAGCCATGCTTTCAGCCATTTCAGCCACTCTACAAAATTTTGGAACTCCCTCCCTCAATGCTTCCCCACTTTCAGACCACGCCCGAAACCTTCCTCTTCGACCGTACTTAAGATCACCAACCCCCAGCTCGGCGTTGGGCTTCGGGGCTGTTGGGTGGTCTATGCGTGCTATATAAATGCAACTTGTTGTTGCAACAAATCCCTCCAATATTATTGTTTTATTTTGCAATAGAAAATAGTGAAAGAAATACAGTCTTGTATAGTTTCAGTAAATGAGATTTTGTGTTGTGAAAACTGAATTGTGAAGGTGGGAGGACATTAAAAACTTGTTCCTGTATCAACTGATTCACTTCTTCATTTGTTTGTTTCCTCTTCATTTATTTTGTTTGGGTCTGTTGCAAGAAGGAATTTCTTAATCTAAATGGTAACACTGGGTGTGGTTGTAAGGCTTTAAAATGCTCAAGGGATTCAGGTGGTGAAGTGAATCACAAGTGAAGTTAAGTTGTTTGTTCACTCATCTGCAGTTCAAGAGGATATTACTATCTCTTCCTAAGCACTTTTTTAATTTTCTTTTGGTCAGGCGGGTGTCTGACATAGCGGAAACTCATCACTATGATTAAGAGGAGATTTCCATGCATCCCACCTACACATGGAAATCCCAGAGATAGATTGTTGGAATAGAATACGCACTCTCTCTCTGGAGGGACCCATCCTGCTTACCTAATTCTGGAAAGTTTTTATTTGGCGTAGGTTGGCAAGAGCCAAGGCTTGGGGACCCCAGTGTGTGCGTTGGGTACTGCTGGAGTCTAACCAGCTAAAACAGTATAGCTGACCATTGATATTCCTGTCCAGCAAGCTTTCCCACTGCTTGTCCAGCTAGGACCACCCTACCTGTTAAGGCTATGGCTTGCAGGATTAACAGGAGCTGAATGGAATGACTCACTACCCCTAGTGGCTGGTCTGCTCTTCCAGGTCCTGCTGATGAGCCAGGCTGGCTGTGCTGTCATCAGCAATGCCCTGAAATACTGCGGACAGACATTTTTTTTACCATACACACAAATAAGTGTTCATTTTTCCAGATCATTCCTGTTGGAGTTTGACAGTAGTTCATATTGACAGTTACTGCAGACATGATGCCTGGTGTTTCTCCATGCCACACAAAGTGGTAGGGACCAAAGGACATGACCAACATGATATTAGAATCATTGTTATATATGAAGCAGTTGGATAAGGTTTGCATTGAGAAATATTCTGTTTCAGCATTTGTGTGGCAGCCTAGCTCAGTTGGTAGCACTCTCACCTTATGGTTGAGGCTGGAGTATTGGGGGTGCACTTCATTGTTGACAATGTTATCATTTGGGTGAGGCATCAAACCAAGATCCTGTCTGCATACTCAGGTGGATGTTAAAGATCTCATGATACTATGGTGTCCTCCCGTTACCCTGACTGATAATCCCGCAGATAAAATTGGCAATTTACTTCATGGTTATTTGTGGGCTTTACTGTATGCAAGTTGGCTGCCTCCTTCACCTACAAAATATATAATCACTACGCTTTAGAGTAAATCCTGAGCAGCGTTTTGAGACTTCCTCCCGACATGAAAGGTGCTTTATCGAAATGCATGGATGGGGTTTTTTGTATGAGCTTGCATGGAATAGCAGGGTTCAGATTCAGTCCGCCACATATTGAGTTCCTGATTTGAATTGTGTTGCTTATGGGAGAAATTCAATGAACTGTAGGCATTTCTGCACAGAAAAGGAGTTAAAATTTATAGCAGAATCTTGCATATTTATTCCGGAATAAAACCTGGAGACTCGTGGAGAGCAATGTTGGCAAATGCCTGAGAACAGATTGTCCTCCCACACTCTCATCCACAGTTGGTGGGTGGCTGGGGAGAAAACTAGAGGAGGGCATAAAGCAATTTGTTTTTATAAAGGCAAATATTCTTATATATATGTTATTAAGTATTTATTGCACAGATAGTCTATAAGTTTCCAGGACAGTCTTATTAAATTTAGAAGAGTAAAGATTAGAAAAGTGCCACGTTACACCACTTTGAATACTGAATATTTATCAAAACAGATTATTGCCAACCGTACAGAGAAGTCTGAATAAACAGCAGTATGACACATTGATGGATTGTAATGGGCTGTTACAGCTAAAAGATGTGGAATGGTAAAACCTGGATGGTAATAGACAGTGGTGAACAGAGTCCACGTTAGATTAAACTAAATTTAATAACGACTTGATTTTTGGATGTTTAATGTTTATCAATAAGAATTTCTTGTTTCTAGCCCAGATCAGTTGGTAGCACTATTACCTCTAAATCAGAAGGCTGTGGGATCAAGCCTTTCATCAGGAACTCATACAGTCCAGGTTGACATTCCTATATAATCCTAGGAGTATGTTGCATTGTCAGAGGCGCATTCCTTCGAGTGAAACGTTAAATCAAGGTCTCATCTGCCTGTTCTGGTGGAGTTCCTTCTGATGTCCTAGCCAACAATTTCCTGGGTAATCCATTTTATAAGCTCTTCGGGACCCTACCCCGCGTGAAGGGCGCTATATAAATGCAAGTTTTTGTTGTTGTTGTTGGCTGTTTTGGGGACATCAATGTGTGCAAATTGACAGCTGTGTTCACTCACAAAATCTACATTCACTACGCTTTACAAAAATCCTGTGAACCACTTTGAGACATCCTCCAGATGTGTAGAAAAATGTCACAATCACGTTACCCACTGTCTATATCAATTGTGCATTTTATTCTCTTTCGTGAATAGTGCATTCGGAGTAATGGTTAATCAACAGGATTTTGTCAAAATGTTAATGTAGGTTGTTGGTTAAAATAAGTTTAACATAATACTAACAAGTAACTTTTAAAACACGTTTCTGTCATTGATCAGTTGCACAGATATATACCATGGCAAGTGAAACAGTCAATTAAAAAGTAACATTTATTTTATCCTGTGTTCATCTGAAAGAAAGTAACTCATGCGGCAGCCCACTAGAGCCTCATCTAAATGCCCATTCTTCACCTTTCAGACTGGATAGTGAATGCCACCATTCATTTGATGAGGAGAGCATCATACACAAAACACAATTCTGGCCTTACTCAGGAAGATGTGTGTGGTTGTATGCGTAGGAGAATCCTTTAGCCGTTATATGTATAATTTTCACAATGTACCCTTACACCACGAAATCCCAATAAATTGTTAAAGTCACTGCGTTTTGTGGGAAGAGGAACTTTTGTCCCCATAGGGTCCACACAGATTCCAGGAGCAGCAACAGGAACGGACCCTGTACTGATCTTTTCCTTTGTTCCCTGCGACATCTTGTAATGCCCCTCCAACGTTCTGGCAAAGATCAGCCAACTTAACACAGATTTATTTGGAAACTTCCTTTTCTGTATGGGTCACAAGATTTGTTTGGATGAAGAAGGCCCTCTGGCCCATTTAATCTCATCCTTCCAGAATACCCAGGCTACCGTTCTCCCATAATAGCACCAAGCTATTTTTTAAATGAGTCCAGTGCCCTACCCTCAACTACCCTTCCTGGCAATCTGTACTGGTAATAGTTAGTCTCTGGATAAAGAAATCCTACATGGTGTCTGTTCTAAAATTGCCCTTGGAACCCAAACGTGTGTCCTCTTGTTCTACTGTCTTGATAATAGTAATAATAATCCTTGCATTTGTTATAACGCCTTATGGTGTCTTTTTGAGCCACCTAAAATCGTTTCACAGAATATACTATAAAATGTCAAAGGCTGTGTATTTTGTGAGCCAAACACGACAGCCAATTTGCCCACAGCAGTGTCTCACCAACAGTCGTAGATCGAGTGACCAAATTATTATTTTTATTTATTTGTTTATTTTTGAAAGGATTATTACCTCCAGGAAAAGCGATCTGCCAATCGATTAACAACTGGGTTCCGACTTACTGCGAGGTAAACAGAGGCGTGTGTGTGGAGTAAGAAAACTTGCCTAAGGTTTTGAGTGAGTGAGAGACTTGTATTCTGTACTCAAGTCAAGCTATTTATTCATTTAAAAAGCAACTCAATGCTGTGATGGAGGGATGCTTTCTAACGCAT